GTTATGCAGAAGACTTTTCAAAACCGATTGGACAGGTTGCCTGTGGTTGGTTTCCTTCGCATGCTCCTTAACGCTGTAGCTGAGTTGCTCCACCAGACTATCAAGAGAGAACACCGCGGTACTGGGGTAGAGCAAGAGCGCAGAACAGCGAGACCTGAGGTTGTACTGAGTATGCACCGAGCTGCACACGACCTAAAAATAGTTGCAAACAGAGATGGTATGCCGATTCTTTTTTCTGCCTCACGAAAATCATCTCAGCTTTCTCATGTATACTATATGATGGAAGCAACAAAGGCATACCAATTATGCACAAAATGTGTCAACGTGGTCGTTTATGAATTCGCATTATCCCATGGCAAAAGATGAACGTTGGCCAGGCAAGAATATGCGTGAATGAGCATGCACAGAAACCTGAGCTTTCGTTAAAAGATAAAGATGGGGCACATTTGCTGACACATTGTGACTCTCATAAGTGTGAGCCGTACTTGTATAAGGTTTGAATTATTGGCAGAAGCAGGACACAACTACTCTTGAATGCATGGATGCATTCTGTATAAAATCACGAGGTTCGTTAGGTATCAGTTATACATTGTCTTTCTGGTAGGTAGAGAACAAGTTCACAGATTGTGATTAGTTAGTATGCTCTCAATGTGAGCCTAGCTTACTCCACTCATGTGTGCCTATAATTTTTGATGCAGGATATGATGAATAAACAGTCGAAACTTTGAGCTCTCCTAGACCCCTTTTCTCATTACTTTGTAATTAAAAACAGCCATATCTTTGTGGCTTCTACAAGAACATGTACCGATTAGAATAGCAAAGAGTACTTCTAGCCTGACCTTTGAGTCTTAAATATACGTAGAGGCAAATTTGACATAGAAGAGGGACACCATGTCTGGGTGATGTAGACCAGGGAGACATGTGGCTATGACAAGTTACCGATATGCAATGACAAGGGGAATGAATACAGTGATTGTGCGAGCATTCCAAGCTAGAAAAAGGCTAAGAGTGACCAGTGCCTTCTGTCGCATAAGCCATGAAATAACAAAAGCAACCACCATCACCTCTGCCACCATCTGGAACGTAAAAGCACTACCAAAGGCTCCATTCATTGTTCTTCTGCACAGGCTTACGGCATGCAGCTCCATAAAAGTAAAGCGAGGGCACATAAATGCTTCAATGTGGTAGTGTCAGAGCGCATACTCAAATCTGTTGCAGGAAAATTATCAAAAAAATCACTGCTTTTTGACATAGTCAATTTAAAAAAAACTTTAAATCGGTCTTAAGACAACATTACATTCTACAGATTTTTGCTGGTGAATGGAAATTCTTCACTAGATTAGAAACTTCGTAACATGGTTTTGCTAGATAGAGTTTTATTAGTATTTATTAGTAAAAATTACGCATTGGGGAGCCATGAAAATTTTGTAAACGGGGGGTGGGTGCTGGAGACGACGTTTTGACAAGTGGACTTGTCTTTTACAAGGCTCAACAAAATTTTGAGAAATTTCGTTCAGTACAAGAACTATATTACTTTATCATTGTGCCTATCCCAAGAAATGAAGTTATTTATATTATAGAGGAGCCGAGAAATGTAACTTGATGCTATTTAATATTGCGCACACGCACCAACGAAGACCAAAAGCTTGTATCGCGCACTGACTACTAAGCGGGGACAAATTTGCTAATCTGATAGTGAAGTAAACATCACATCCTTTTGATTAAAAAATAACAAGCAGGAAAACTAGTATTAAGACCCAAAATGACATTGTACTTCCTAAAGAATGAAATGTCCTTCAATTTTACATGTGATACTTGATTTAGCCAGACCGAACACCTTTACATGGGCTTGAACATATTGTAACACAAGGCAGGACTACACAGACATTAGAGAAGGGACAAATCGCTCTTGTGCCCGCACAGTCGTGCATTGTGTTAAAATATGTTTAAGTACTGTCACCAACTGGCTCAGCTTTCAGTCCTTCTGTGTACATGTGCTTATTTGCGGACGTCCTATTCTTACATACCTAGCTACCCAGTATGATGCACCTTTTCTGCATCATTTTGATAGAATAGCTTTGTATATGTAGTAAACTGTTTTTCTTGCATGCTCGTCTACTGACGCAACCAGCAGCAAAGAAGCTAGAGACCACAAGAGCGCACAGAAAGGGTTTGAGAATTCGCACGTGCAATCATACCGATGTCACACGGGCCCTTTTGATTGCAATCAGCAAGGGCGTCTGCGCCAAATCGATCCGGCGCAGCAGCGACAGACCTGTCGATCTCGATCAGAAGTATTGGAATGACACCAGTATTAGTGACCGCTAACTGCCCAAACTAATCGGATCAAATACGGTGCAGCCGTCATCTAACTGCGATATAAAAGGGTACAACATAGCAAACAAGAACCCGTGTGACAGTGGTGTTGCCAGTACAGTGTGTCAGATCTTAAATCTCATTTGGAAATATGTCTGCACAAACATGATCATGATCACGCCTACGCGGGTGTAATTCCACGCTAGGGCTCGCATAAACCAGCCAATTCTAACGTATCATCAAATGAGCAGGAAACTAAATTTGTCAAACAAACCACCACACAGCACACACAAGACAGCCAGCACTTGAGCATATCACATCGACGCAGGATGTTGGTCATTCAGCGCTACCGCTTGCTTGAAACACCCACGGCGCTCGATCTACCCCCTTTGAAGGATCGGTCAGCCAAGAATCACTGCCACATCACCAGATTCGCAAGGAATAATACCGCAATCCATACACACCGCCGCACAACACCACAATCAACCTTGACCAACAGTCGACGTCTGCGCACCGCTAGGGACTAAAGCGCCTAAGGATGTTCGCGCAATTTGGGTGCCTAGGCAGCGTGCGGTCGCCAGAAATGCACCTAGAGCGCGGCCACTCGTATTAGTTCGCGCCACGACTCGCCGTGGCGCTGCAGTCACTGTCTGCAACGGTGCTGGAATGTAATGTCGCTTCCGGGCACCCTCGTCGTCTACCAAGCCAGCGACATCTTCAGCGGCACCAGTCAACTTCCCTACGTGTACCGAGAGCTGGCCTGGTCCGCATGGACCTTTTTATTGAGACCTTTTTTTAACTGTTAATTTATTATAAACAGCTTTTTTTTTTCTAATTATTTGTAGTGTGCGCTGCGTCGCACGTAGAAACTCAAAAGCGACCATGATCTTTTTCATGTAATTTTCTTGTATCTCCTTTGATTTTCATCTTGTTATCTTTTGTCTGTACCTCTTGTGAGTGTTCTTTTAGAGCATAGTTTGTTTTATAGCCGTTTTTTTTCATTGCGTATCAGTTTTCTTTCTCTGTTATTTTTGTTAACACCTGCCTTTGCCCTTGTTTCAATTAAATGCTTGTTTGTGTGCAAACTCCGTGTCTGCTCTATGAGTGCGTCGGTCCGGCCCACACATCACCACACGTGCAACCCCGCACAGGTCGACCAACCTGCAAATAAATTTGAAATGTACCACTTCGAGGCCTTTCAGGCGTCGCAGGCCAAAGCGTAAAGTGGAAGTCTGCGAGTCTGCCGCACGTCGATGTTGGATCGGCGAGACCTCACCCGAAGTGTGCGACAGAGGGCAAGCATGTAGTCATGACAAATAAGAGTAATAAAAGTCCATTCACATCAGAAGATAAGGACTTCGAGTATATTAGGATTAAATATAGCTGCATTCACGGTTGCACAATAAAGCCAAGGGGGATAGGAAAGCGACCAAAGCAAGCTTACAATGGTACTGGCTATGAAATGACAGTATCGGTAAGCCTATGTATATCGCCTACTCTGCACTACGAGATAACTAAACTACAAGCTAAGCATAACCATCCCACAGAATATTATGATTTGTATCCTCAGAAGAGGCTCCTGAATTATGGAGAAAAAGAAGAATTCTTTGACTCAGCTAAATGTGATATTGGCGTGAAGGATTTTGAAAACTTGGTCGAGCAGAAAACTGGTAAGAAGTTAACTACAAAATACATTAATAATTACAAGCAGCGATTTTCTATTCCTATCCGCAATGAGCAGGCTCATGGTGAAATGGTTTTAGAGAAGGTAGAGACCTTACTAAAAAATAATCCAAATTGGGTCATTCACTATGAAATGAATCAAAATAATAACCTGCAATTCATACTTCTTCGAACAACGCACATGCGGGACATTTTGGAAAAGTATCCAGAGATTCTATTTATTGATGGGACGTATAAAGTGAATATTGAAGGTTATATTCATTACTCTATATTAGTTCAAGATGGTCGTGGTCGTGGGAGACCTGTGTGTTATGTCTTCTTACGAAATGAGACGACTGAAATTGTTGAGCACATGTTTACAAAGTTTGTAGATTTCAACCCATTTGTTGTGTCTGCTTGCAAAGTAGTAATGATTGATAAAGATCTCAATGAACTGCGCATTTTAACCAGTATTCTTCCTAATTATAACATACTTTTGTGTACCTGGCATGTGTTGCATTGTTTCCAGCAAAAGGTTAATGAAAAAGCTAGACAGCAACGTGATCAGTTGCTTCCTCTCTTAAAAAGCTTAGTTTATTCCCCCACTGAGCAAGACTACTTCGATAAGCTTGCTTACCTCCAAGCTATGACTTGTCCAGATTTCATTTCTTACTATATGCATAACTGGCATTTGAGTAAAGAAGTGTCGGTACATGCATATCGGCAAGCCCTTCCTACATTTGGTAATAATACTAATAATCTCATTGACTGCCACAATCAAAAGATTGAAAATTATGTCTTTTCAAGCAAGCATTTGGTTCAAGCAATAGAAGCATTGATAGGTTACATTGATAATGATTCTTTATCTCTACAGTTCTCTAAGCTTAAAGAAATGAAGTTGAACCTAAGCATAAATGATTTCAATGACCCATTTCAGCTAGAATTTTCCCGTAATTGCACTTCTGAGGCTACAAGTAAAGTACCAGAGCAGTATGAAAAGTTTAAAAATGTAAGTTATCAAGTCACTTCCACTCCTAATTTTTATGTTGCAATTTCACCGAGATCACAGTACAGTTTCAATGTGTTTGACTTCTTGCACATGTGCTTTTTATAACCAGCACACTCTGCCTTGCACACATATTTTAGCAGTGTGTGACTTTACCAAGCAAGATCTTCTCGACGAGGCTTGCATACTGGACAGGTGGTGCAAGGATCATTTCCTGAGTTACAGCAGCACAACCACTAGTGCCACACAGTGGTAACAAGCAGCATTCAGTCACCGCCCTGTGTGAAGCTTGACACTGCACAAGAGAAGTATACTTATGCTTATAAGAAACTTTGCAAAATGTCCAAAACCGTGGCTAACGTATTATCTAATTGTGGTGAGAAAGAGTTAATGGAAAAACTTTCGTCCTGCGAGGCTTTCAACAGAAATTTAACCTAATTTCCTCGTAACCAAACTTCAGCAGGCATAAACGCTGCACCAGCTCAGTTAGCACAAACTACTGCCACAAGTTATCTTGGGCATTCTAACAGTACAAAACTTGTGGTACCGTTGGTTAAAGCAATAAGTGGGCGGCCAAAAAAAGTGAAAGCTGTCAAGCGTAAATATTTCCCAAATCAAGTAAGAAAGGTAGGCCTTGCGACGGTTAAAGTAGACATGCTAAATGTCTACAAACGGTATTTTCTTTCAGATGCAGATTTAAACGTTCTGGTACAGGGTACCTCCATATCAGATAGCGTAATCAATGTCGCACAGTATTTATTTCAGAAAAAATATCCTACTTGTGTCGGCTTTCAAAATGTCTTACTGGGCCAATGTTTACAATACACTCAAATCAAAGGCCCTTTCGTTCAAATCTTGTATGTTCAGAACCCCAATCATTGGCTTACAGCAACAAATGTTGGTGCCGACAAAAACACAGTCTTCATATATGATTCAATTGATCAAGATACCCCTCCTCCTGACGCTGTCAGGCAAATCTGTCATATTCTAAAATTACAATCAACAACATTAACCATTCAAACAATGAAGGCACAAAACCAGTGCAACACACTTGACAGTGGCTTGTTTGCAAGTGCTAACATGTATTATATAGCGTCAGGCAAAAAACCAGACACTTTGAACCTTAACCAAGTTATGCTATGCAAACATTTACTGCAATGCATACAGAATGGTATGATCGAAGACTTTCCCCTCATAAACTCCATGGCTGCTCGCGTACAGCCAATAGATAGTATTTACAAGTGACATTGTGTCTACCGGCAACCACTATATGGTGGGGTAGTATTGGACATTACTTGTGCAGATTGTTCAAGAGGATTTCACGGAGCTTGTCTCGGCTCTTTAGCAGCTAACTTGGACAAAAAAGTATTCGTGTGTTCTAAATCATGTTTGCTGGTTGCCAAGGAAAAGATACGTTCTCCTAATTAATAATAGCATTCCATTTTCGTGTAGACATACGGCAAAACTTCTAGCCATTCTTCATGTCTCCTCCTCTAATTTTTGCTGGTTTGACAATTTTGATTTGACAAGCGCAATGCGTACATCGGGAGTTTATGGTCACGTCTGCCAAACTTTGCAACGCTATGCACCGCAGAAATAGGTCAAATTTCAGGACGAACGCTTTTCCCCCTTTCTTTTGCAGGCTCGCGCCCAGAAAAGGAGGGTATGATGTGCACGTATGAATCGCCCTACATACACAGCAGTACAGTGACGTTGGTCCTCTATGTAAAGGACTGTGCTCTGACGCTGCCAACAGTGGCACGCAACATGGGGAAAATTCTTTAATGCGACATCGGTAGTTAATGTAATTTGTTGCTGAAGAGATTAATAAAACTTGGGATACATATTGAGACGCAATAAGAGAACGTGTTTGTCTTTATCATTTTTTCCCCGTGAACTGCAACGAGATGCGGAGCTAATGTGCCGGCACTTCACATGCGTTCGTGTCCCCGCGGCTACTGCATCAAGCAGACGCCTGTCCTGGAAAAAAATATTGGTCCTGCGTATTCGAGCACTCATTATGCTCATCTTTTCAACCGCATCAAAGCCAGCGTTTCCAAACAATCTCGCAGAAACAGGCAATAGACACAAAATAACGCTGGTCAACAAAACAACACCGCTCGGGGATTGGGCTTGTTCGGGCACGTCATGCGAACGTGACCTCTTCGTTGGATGCTGCAGAGGGTAGGAAAGAGATTTGGCTTGCGAAGGCTACATGGGGGAGTGGCAAGGGTTTTGAGCTTGCCTCCTTTCATCCTTGTTTCCTGCTGTTCAAAAAAACTGTTTTCTCAGCTCGTAATGCACCGATTGAAAAACTTTTTGTGGTATAATGCTCTCCGCCAGACACGCAACAACTTCCACAGTCCAACTAAAATTTGTTATGGGACCTGGTGAGTGGCTTTTTAAGGAGTGACATTAGGGATCGAAAGTATGAAGTTAGGCATGTTGGTAATGCATAACTGATCACACAGCACAAAAATTTGACCCAGGACAAGAGAAGGAACAAAGACTAGTGCTCACATCCAAAAAGATTTATTTTGAAGAGCGAACACACATACACTCCTGAAATGCGAAAAACAGGCAAATCATGCAAGAAGTCCAGAACTGCCATGCACAAATATCTTACATTCTCAAGAAAGACAATTCATTTTGACAAAGCTCGAGAGAGATAGAGTGTTAATGCAGTTCAGCTCTAGTCTACAAATCCTCTTTGCCTCGATAATTTCTCTTGTCATTTTATTTGTTGTTTTTTTCTTCCAGCGAAAATGGTGTCGTGCAAAAGCAGTTTGCAGCTACACGTGCTGCAATGAACACGCTTCTAACCTCAAGAATGGTCGCAATCGTTTCTTGGCCTTGCACTGCAGCAGGTGTGGCTCCAAACCACTTTTGTGCGACACCATTATCATTGGAAAAAAAAAACTACAAGAGAAATTGTCGTGGCGAAAAGGATTTGTACACTAGAGCTGAACTGCGTCGGCACTTTCTCTCACTCTCTCTCTAAGGATATGTCAAAACGAATTGTCTTTCCTAAGGATCTAAGGTTTTCGTGCATGGCAGTTGCGGACTTTTTGAATGATTTGTCTGTTTTTTGCATTTCACAAGTATATATGTTTGCTCTTCAAGATAAATTTTGTTGGAAGTGAGCACTCATCTTCGTTCCTTCTCTTGTCCTGGGTCAAATTTTCGCGTTATGTGACGAGTTAACTTTCTGCATGCACCACCTTATTTTTCTCCCTTGTTGTAAGTGGTGGAGCGTTAACTAGGAGTATATAAAAACAATGCCAAATGTATGTTACCCCGACGAACCAAATTTCTTTGTTGAGGCAATCCTTTCTGTAGCATTCCTTCTTTAGTAACTTCTCATCACGTCAAACCTGTCTCTTCCATAAAAGTTCTAGGACTAGTTTTTGCTTTGTTCTGTTTTTTTTTTTCGCCAAAAGTAGAAAAACTTTCCTTCATTGAGCAAATTTTCCTGAACTAAAAGATATTCATATCCAATGCCAGGAATGAAAAAAAAAACAGAATAAAATTCATAGGCTGATCCCTAAATGTCCACTGAATAAGGATTTCAGAAACAATACCATGAATGACACACAACAAACACTCATGCATGCAGCCTTTTACCATGTGCAGCTGTAAACTGCAAAAAAAAGTATCAGATATTGTACATGATTTGCTTTTTTTTTCTTTTCAGCAACAGTAACTTGCCCTTTAGGAGAAAAATATGAATATCAAATTTTTAAAAATACTCATTTTTGAAAACCTGTCAATTTATCAAAATGGTTTAGTTGATTCATGATTATGCACGCAGTTCTCGCATGCCTTAGGCACTGGGATTGCTAATGTGGACAGGTTGAGTTTATAATGTTCTAAAGCCTCAGCATTTTGGTGTTATATTACATTCAAATATTTTATTAATTCAATTATGAAATTTGCTCACAATGAGTTTGCTACAAATTAAGCAACCAAAGTCTGTGTATATATTGCCCACATTAATGTCACACTGCCACAAGTCTCTAGGCGGAGCCTGACCGCTACAGAGCACGTTCTCGGGTGGCGGATAGAGAAAACTCTTGCAATGAAGTGATGCTAAGCAGCTTCAATAAACAAGACTGGCACTTGTGCCCGCGGACCAACAGGCAGAAAATACATATAACAACAGGAGTCATTTCACTGCTGTGGTGGGCAAGTTGAAAGTTTCAGCTGCCATTTTTTACACTCTTTGATTTATCTGTTATTTTTTTCGTCTGTTTTCCTCATCTCATACAGGTCCAGTACATTGTGGACTCACCCTGTTGTCAAGTCGTCAGGACGTTGGATGATGCTATCTTCTTACAGCTAAATTATGCACTACTAAGACGGGGATCAGAATTCAATTTTGTAGCAGCTATTTTACAACTAAATGTTAGTAAAATTTTTTTTGGTTGTTTGGGCACGTAAAACCACAAAAATTACAATTGCCGATGATGACCACTGCCTGAACAGGTACGCTGATGACAAGTGCATTGTGTTGACATTGGCACTGGACTGAGGCTTCCACTAATAATGAAATTGCAGTCTCTCATCTGCTCTATCTGATACAGCAGCTTAATTATTAATGTATTGCGTAGTGTTTAGTTAGTAAATTTCCTGACCTGCAATTACTCACCGACTATTTATCATTTCAGATTGTGTAGATTTTTCAAAGCTCTGGGAAAACAAAGATATCAAAAGCCTGGCCAAAGACTTATGTTCTTTCAGAGTGAAGGCCTAGCACTTACAACGAACAGCATTATAATAAAAGCTTATTGTGAAAACGTGACCTGGTTGTCTTCCTGTGTAGATAATACATCAACGCGGTGTCTGCACTACTTTCATAACGATGATGCAAGGCAGTTACATTTCAAGCTGCATGGATTAGGTGCATGGCGCGTCAATTGAAGTTTATGGAGGAGTCTAAATCAGCTTAAAACATTACTTTTAGATTGCTTAGATTATTATTATTATCGCTGCTGCATTTTTACATTTTTTTTACGCTACTTTGAATTTCATACCAAATTTACAAAAAGTTCGATCGACCTTGACATCGTCTGCAATGGCGGATTGTTTATTTGCAAATATGCATGAAAATTTCACGTGATACAAATTATTTTTTGCGACTTTCTTGAGTTAACTTTTGCATTTGTTATGAAGCTGGCGTATTTTTGTCACATGTGAAGGTGTGATACTTCTTCACTCTTGGATATTCGTACTCGGCCACTACGACAGGGGAGTAAGGTACGCGCTATGAAGCAACTTCCAATTCATCTTAGTGCT